TTTAAGTATTTAAAATAAACCCCAAAGTCTATCTCAGAGAATAGGGATTTTCCCAGGAGTAAACAAAATGAACTCTCCCAGAGGCTGATGTTTGAAAGAAAATTACAGTGTGTTTGTAGATTTTAAATTTGACAAAATACGTTCAACCATCATTTAAAAATAACAACTTTAAAGGGCTCATAAATAAAGACATAAAAGACATTCCGACATTTAATACAAAAACAGCATTTTAATGAACTAGGTAAAAATGAATCATAGACATATGGATTACATATTTCTTATAGTGTGCCTGAGTTTCAAAATTGAGGTGGTGGAAATCTGGCAAAATATTTTTGGGGAATTTGCTATATATACTATATTTAAAAAGAGGTGAAGATGAACTCCAGGCTGCTATGATTGCTTGTGACATTGAATTTGATAACTTTTCATTCGCGTATAAGAAACTCTTGTGAAATAGCTCAATCTGTCTATGCATCATGGAAACAAATTATTGGAGACAGTGTATACCAATTCATTTGGTCACATAACCGACAAGCATTTATTTCCAGGTGCTTGCTGAAGGCCAGGCTCTGCACTAGGCACAGAACGACTTCTAGGACGGTTAACATGAACTGTGGACTCTGCCCTCATGGGAAGGGTAGGCAGTGGGAGCAAGAGGCTCACGAATTTGGGGGTAATCCAAGTACTTTGGGACATACAAGAAAAGACTATTTACAGAGCCTTTATTGTGTGCCAGTCACTGTGCTAACCAGTTTTTACATTCATTACCATGTTTGTTAGATCTCTACAAAAATAAAGATTTTATCATTTCCTTTTAATGGATGAGGAAACTGATGTCCATCAAAACGCAGAGATTAAGTGATTTGTAAAGTGACAGCAGTAGTCCGCTCACTGGGACTCCAAGTGACCCATGCCTTCCGGATTCACACCGCTGTGTGCTACCACCCCTGCGATCTAGGCTGGCCCCGAGGCCCACTGAACTAGCAGATCGTGGCAGACATGGAGTTGTCTCAGTTGCAGATCTAAGCCTTGAGTAGGTCTGGCAGCTTCCTCTTTTGTCACCTCAAAGTCCTGAGTCACCAGTAAAAATGTCTGCTTACCCTGCTGGCGAGACCCTGTGCTGAGACAATGTAGAAAAACGTGAGAGGGAGAGAGAACAGCTACGAACGTCCCAGCCAGCCCCGCCCAGTGGCACGCATCCACGTGACTGAGGACCAGTAGGATTGACAGAACCGTCGAGTCAAGATCAGCCCACACTGCAGAATCGCGAGCAAATACAGTGGTGGTGGTTTGCAGCCACAGAATTTTGTGGATTGTTACACAGCAAGAGAAGACCAATGTGGAGGCTGAATAGGACTTGAACCTGGGTCAGACTCTAATGTATATATTTTCAATCGCTGTGTTTGCTCACGAGCCAGTGGGGTAAAGAATCCAGTGATATTTGAACACCTCTCAAAATGGTCTGCATCTGACATGGATGAAGTGGGAGACTTTTGACTTTGTATTTTAGAGGAAAAGAGAAACACCCTATAGTACAGGACACAACCCCAGGGCCTTCTTGCTGTGTGTACCATACAGTGCGCGTGTCAGAAAGAACATGAGCCGGTGGCCAGACTCCCCATTCCTGATGCTCTTCTCGAGCAAACGCCATGTCAACGTTCGTATTGACTTTGTTCAGAATCATCAAACTAATAACCGATGCTAATGAATTCCTGTCTTTCGCATGGGAGTTTATAAAGTGAACGAGAGCAGGGGCTTTAAAAAGTATACAAGTGCAACACACACATACACACACGGGGGATGTCCTGGATGGTGACATAAAACAAATGGCGATCAAAAGGTATGAAACAGGGCCAGTCTGCAGTGGCCAGGGGAGGCGCGGGTCCCTGGCTGGTAACACCGGGGAGCACTTGAAAGGGTAATTTTCTGGCAAGTCCACGTTTGAAGTGATGTCATCTTTTACATTCTCTCAATGCGATTGCTCCTCTGAAGCTCATCCTTTCCATTCTGATGAGGAGCAAAAATGTCCCATCAAAGGTCAGTGCTTGAGTTGAGGCTGAGAGAGAGAGGGAGGGACACACGCATATGTGCCCTTATCCGTGCACGCACACGCACACGCACACACACATGTACACACGCACATGCACACACACACGCACACGCATACACGCACACGCACACACACAGGTGGGGAGAGAATCACGGAAGTTCTCGAAAGCATCTCATACGGAAGGAGCCCTCTTCCTCCCCGATGTGTAGTTCGCAAGCTCGCGTTCAAGTCTGGACGCGAGCCATCGCAGTGCGTTTCGACGAGGGTGGTGTCACTGGTGTCACCTTTGGAAGTCTGCGGTGGCGAAGCGTGTGCAAAGGGACATTGTAGTGCGGTCAGCTCTTCCAGTCCACACAGCAAGCTCCCGATTTGCCCAAACAGCCACCCCGGGGTTCTTTCCTCAGCGTTGCCATGATATGAGCTGGAGGTATTTATCCGGTCCCCCTTCGGAGGTGATCTGGAGTAGACTGCACCTGCGTCCTGTGTAGGGCGTACAGGAGGGGTGGTTCGGATTTCGTTTTGTGATCAAGAACACATTTCACACTTATAGGGTTTGTTTTTTTGGGGGTTTTTTTTTTGCAGCTGTACTGGCTGTTCGGGGTTGGATGGAAGGTAGGGTTACTCCTGTACTAATGCAGTCCGCATGTTGAAAGATTTCAACATGACTTTTCTCTTTTTCCTCTCTACTTATGTGCACCTTCTTGAGGACAGTAGAATGTGAGTCATTTTTCTCCAAGTTGTTTCACTTAGTGACACTCTGTTTGGCCTCTTCATGGCAACCCAGGGACGAGAGGGCAGGAGCAGCCTGGCTCCTGGACATTCTTTCAGAAGCAAGCAGCGGTGACCCTGCCGTTTCGTGGCCTCACGCAGTGGAGAGCCAGCAGCGAGCGAGCTGGTAGCTGGCAGCCCCGGCATGCTCGCGGGAGCTCTGCGAGGCATGGTGACGGTCACCAGGAGCCAGACCGAAAGAAACCAAGCGCCTGGAAGAGATTCCGAGAGAACTCCCGAGCTCACTGTTGGAAATTAGGGGGGAATTTGAATATACTCCCTTTTTCACACACCAGGGGTGAGCGCTGTCCTACCTCTAGTTTCATCGGTGTGTATTTGAATCTTTGAACCAAGGTCTGGGAAATGATACTTGAAAATAAATCCTTCCTGTCCTTCGAACATTTTCTCAGAACCCAGGGGTTCTGGATGGGGTGAGGACAGAGGTGAAGGGTATGTCCCGTTTGTCGGTTGAATCCCTATGTCCCGCAGCTGGGCAGCAGCTATGGTGGCCAGTGTGGACAGGCTGCCTGAGAGCTCAAGAGGTGGGCGAGCTCTTGGTCCATCGAGCTCCAGGACGGGGCTCGCGGCGTCGGCGACCTGCTGGCCTAGCAGAGGAGGCAGCGAGGGCCGGTGTGCCCGAGAGCGAGCCATTTGCGCTGAGGGCCCTTTTGGAAATCATGCCATTCAGTTTCTTTCAGTGATTCCATCTGACCATTAGACGTGTTTCCACGGACAAAGCCCTTTTTCAAATGGAGACATTTTACGTGAGTGCTCCTTCTGAGAAAAGCGGAAAGTTATAGAAAATTGCAGGGCCACTAATGGTTTGAAAAACGACCTCTTAGCACTGTGTTTGAAATTTTTTAGTATTTTTATAAGTAACATTTTATTTTATTTGTGTAACAAAGCTCATATAATAATCAATATTAAATATTTAATGCTGTGCCGGGGCCAAGTACACATATGGATGTGCTGCTAATACTAATAAAAAAAAAAAACCCAGAATTTCTCTCTGCAGGAAGCATTGCAAATATGTGTTTATTAATCCCCTGTGTCAGAGCTGAGATTGGAACTCAAGCTTTTGCCTGCCGACTGCTTCGCTTCGTCCTCTAGCGACAGGGGGCTCGTGGAAATAGCGGTGTGGACAGTATAAAGCTGAAAGAATGGCAGCTCCGGAGGGTCGATGTGATTTTTAAGAACTTGAAATAGATTCTTCTTGACCAAGGCCTCCTAGAATATACTTTTCCGGTGCTTTCCATGTTGTCATTTTCTGTTCACAGATCTAGCATTAGAGGTTGTTATTATTAGGGTAGAAATATAATGCACTGTGTCTTTTTTATTCTTTTTATCCTTTTCCTGATTCCTCAAGATATAACTGTGGCCCTTTCAAAGCTATCAAGGGCGGAAAGCATACAACTACTGCTTTAATCGTAAGCCTCCTCAAGGCTTCTGATCACCGTGAATTACAACGCCTATAGCATGTGGAGTGGTATATGTCGCCAAGTGCTTATCGCATGGACTGTATTATTTGATATCACCACTGCCCTTTGAGATAGACAAGGCAGATATTTTTATTCCCATCTTAGAGATAGTTAACAGATGCACATGTAAGGGACCCTCAAGGGCCACAAAGTGAGTACGCTTGAAAAAAGTATGGAGCCAAGGCTTGGACCCAGGTCTCCTGAATCAAAAGCCACCATCCATTGATCACGTGGGACCTGGTGGCACGTTAAAAAGAAAACCCCAAATACTGAGTATAACCTTCTATATACTTTCTCCTTTGGTATGACTAGAATAAAATGTAAATATGAAGGATGGATATGTATAGCAATACTGTACCATAACTTTATATAGGTTCGCCCTACGGTTCTTAATTATCATAGCATCACCGGTAGTATAGAATTGAACACGTCATAGGTGCTTATTTAATAGAATACTATTATATGTTGTTTACCAGTACGAATAGAATTACAAATAGACTTAGCGAGAGACAGATGTAAAAGCAGTTGACTTGAATAAAGATATGTGCGAATCCTCCAGGTATTTTAAAATTATAAACGAGTGCAGAAAAGCGTGGGCTTCGTTAACATGAACAACTTTGCGTGCACTGTACTTCTGCCACATGTAAATGGCTGCAAGACTTAGGGCATATGAATGTATTTTTTCCAGACCCGTCTTTTATTTTAGCCTACAGCACCCGGTATTCCCAGGTGGTCTCCCATCTAAGTACTAACCAAGCCCGACCCTGCTTAGCTTCTGAGAGCAGATGGGATCAGACGCATTCAGGGTGGCATGGCCATGGACCTCATCTTTTTTTTAACTGTAAAATGATGATTACAAGACCTACTAGATAAGATGACGTATATCGGTTAAATGAGTGCCAAATAGATGTATGTAAAGTGCGTCGTACATAAAAAGCTTTCAATAAATAGTTATTACTAATACACCTAACAACACATGTAGAGAATTATGATTTATGTAAGTACATAGTTCCCTGTAATTGAGTATATGACTTTTTTTATTCCTTTTCACCTTTTTTATCCATTCCCCCTCTTCCTCTTCTCTGGTACCAATCAGTTTGTTCACTGTTTTTGTTTTGTTTGTTTGTTTGTTTATTTTTAACATTCAATATATGAGTGAGATCATATAATATTTGTCTTTCTCTCTCTGACTTATTCCATTTAGCAACATATTCTCTAGATCCATTCATATTGTTGCAAATGGTAAGATTTTATTCTTTTTCATTGCCGAGTAATATTCCATTGCATATATGTACCACAACTTCTCTGTCCGTTCATCTATGAATGGACACATAGGTTGCTTCCATATCTTGGCTATTATAAACCATGCTGCAGTGAACTAGGAGTGAGGATATCTTTTTGAATTAGTGTTTCATTCTCTTCAGATAAATACCTAGTATAAGCTTCCTAATGTGGACACATCTACAATCTCAGTTTTCTTGGAAGAGATCTTTATAATTTATCTTGTTTTTCAGGGCTTAATTCTCAGCAGCATGCATAGGTGAGATTTTAATGAAGTAACGATTCTGTTAAAGAGTGTCTCGCTTCACCTGTGTGGTTTATTCCTGGTCAAACAATGCGGTCAACGATGTATAATGCACCTCGCCGTAACAAGCGAAGCGTCGTCTGCCCCATTTCCGGATATTAAAAGTATAATAGTGTTCTGTCAAACTTATTCAGTGGTGTCCTATTTTTTAGAACTGCCAGAATTTCATCCTCTGTCCAGTCCTGTGACTTGTGCTGAATTAATGTGAATTGTTTTGTTTTCGTCAGGTCAAAGCCTTTGTGACAATACAGTGAAAGTTCCAAGGAAGGTGGTGATGATGGATTTTTCTTTAATTCATTGGAGTGCTTGCAATAAAACTAATGAATGGAAAGGCCTGAACATTTTCAATTAGCTGCATATAGCAAAATCCTAAAAATAATTAGTGGCTGAGATGGTGTGTAGTTATTTTAAAATACTGTTTCAAGTTTATAAAGATCTTGGTTTAGTTTGCTTTGGAATTAAGCCATTTGAGAGAGAGAAAAACCTATAGTACATGTATGCGGGCATGTGTGTATGTGTATGCAAGTGTGTGTGTGTGTTTCATCCAAGCCTTTTCATTTTCGTGCAATAGTAGTATCATAATAGTAACTAATGTGTTTTAGTGCTTCATAACTTCACACATTTTCCTGTTATTCATATGAACTCATTCTTCACAACACTTTGAGATGAGCGTTATTATTCTATTTATTTTAATGAGGACATAGGCTGTATGTGTTTGAGATTAGCCATAGCTAATCATTTACATGGCTAAAAAACATGAGGGAGGTAAGCCAGGCCTGTGCTTCAGAATCCAATGTTCTTTGTCCTGTACCCTATTCGCGTTTGGGGTCTTGTTTTGTTTTTTGTTCATTAGTTTTGTTTGTTGTCGATAGCGATATTTTGGTTTCATTCTTGAAGTGAGCCTGTGATTCTTCAGTGCTTTCAGATTTAACCACATGTGTCTGTCCCTGAGGTCCCAGTTCAAGAAATAGGTGTTCTGCTAACACTTATTGAGTATCTAATGTACAGAGTGCTTGGTAGAGGGAGTGACCTTGGTTCTAGGAAGTTAAAACACGTTGGGAAAGACCCTGATCCCAACTGGGAGAGGATAGGGAAACTTACAGTGTCACGTCTGTCCAGGCCAGTTTTGCTTTCTGGGAACTGGATGCCATTCACAGTGTCGTAGTTTGATAACTCAAGCCACCAGGTGACTCTGAACTTACTGTCTTAGACAGAGGAAGGTTGCAGAGTTATTGGTCAAAACTGGATTTTTGTGAATCTGGATCAAGTGTGTTCTTAATTGAGACTTTATAGCTATCAGTGCTTTATAGATTATGATATTCTTCACTATATTTCTTCATTGGATCTCCATAGCAGCCAGTGGAATATTTTTTACTACTCCTTTTTAAAGTTGAGGAGCCTAGTTCCGTGCAAGGTCAAGGCACCTGAGCTCATTTTCTTTATCTATCATGTGAAAGTTTCTGAAGTTTCTACCCATGAACCCCAAGAGCAGAGGTCAAGGAACATACACATGTAATTTGCAAGCATCTTAGTTCGTGCTGCTATCATAGGATTCCATAGACTGGGGGCTTTAACAGCAAACTTTCTTTGTTTCTGGAATAGGGCAGTCCATGATCGAGGCCCTGGTAGATCCGGTGTCTGGTGACAGCCTGCCTCTTGATTCACGGGGCCGTCTTCTCTCTGTGTCCTCACATGGTGGGAAGGGGTGAAGGTACTCTCTGGGGTCCCTTTCATAAGGTCATTGATCCCATTTATGGGGGTTCCATCCTCATGACACAGTCATCTCCCAAGGCCCCGCCTACTAACACCATCACATTGGGGTTGAGAATGTCAACGTGCGAATTTGGGCAGGACAAAAACATCATTTCATAACAGCAGAGGCCAGTAGTGATGGCCGGGAGCAATCAAAACATTTGTTTAAGTCTGCCTGATCTTTAATATGCATGTGAAATTTGCATTTTGCTCTATGATATGCATTTCAATATAAAAATCGTTCCCCAAATCCAAACCAGAGTAAAATCTCTGCCACAGAGGATGCCCCGTGTTTGTTCTGGGCACGTGTGTCGTGCGTGCCACCTTGCCTTACACTGGGAAGAGCCCAGCACGATGACATCAACCCCACATTCTTCCAGCTTTAGTTATTCTGTGTTAGAGCTCGTGATCTTAACGTTTTCCGGTTCGTTTCTCTCCTGCCCTCTCTCTTTTTGTCTATCTAATTTGTGATCTGCACTTTTATTTCAAACAGAATTTGAGGGCATTCTCATAAGGACACACAATAAAAGTATAAAAGCATCTGAAAATCAGGGTGAAAGAAAAACCCGGTTGTCTGAGCAAGATTAGATTGGGCTGAGTGTCGGGAGGAGTCACTTTTATTATGCCCTGGCAAATGTGCTAGAAATAGACAATTGATTTGGTGCTACGCTTCCTCCCAGCCAAACACTCTCAGCCCGGATTTTTCCCTTGTCCATGTAATCCATACTCAGCAGAGGACAGGTTCTCCAGCCCCGAGGTCCGAGGGACATTTCTCCTTCACGTCCACATGAGGTGGGCACACTCTGTGATTGCCAGTCACCCCGATTAACACTCCTGTGGCAAACCTGCGCAGAGGGCCATTTGGCTGCCGATTCCACCCTCCCCGAGGAAAGCTGGCAGATGTACCACCAAAGCACAGTGTGACTGTGGCAGCCCTCAGCCCAGGTTTTCTGCCCGCGCGTCCGCCGTGGTCTCTGACGAGGATGGATTACACTCTTGTTTCTTTTCCGTCCAAAGAGCATTCTGGATGGAGTTAAGAGAAAATGTGTAACAGTGATTTCAATGCCGTGTTTCTCTCATTAGGAGAGAAAATGAGTAAGCTGGAATTTTAATGGTGAGCCTTTTCAATAGCAATCCTCATGATTTATTCTCCTTGGGACTTTATTCGTAGTCTTAATTATATATGTGTATATATATGTGTATATATATGTATGTGTGTATGTTATATATATATGCATATATATGTATGTATATATTATATATGTGTATATACACACATATGTATGCATATGTATATATAGATGTTAGCTTCTCCCTGTGGAACAAGTTTTAACGTGAGAGAAGGATAAATTTGCACAGGTTACTCAGAAATGGTGAGCTTGATTTCTTGTGTTTTCCTTCATTAGATGGATGTGAATGAGAGCCAGCAAGAATTTAAAAAAATATGTATGTCCACCATCATTGTTTAATCAAACACTTACTCGAAACTTTGATTTGGGGAGGTCTCCGATTATGCACTCTTCCAAAAGGACCATTCCCACGGTTTATATGTGTCTGGTTTATTCCCGTTTGTACACATAGTGGCGACCCACATGTGGCTCCACATTTGTGAGATTCACAGCACAGAGGGGTCTCCTGCAGGCGGCAGGCGTTTGCAAACCGCTATTCCTTGGCGATTCGGGTCGGCCAACGGTAGTGACAAAAAGAATGAGACTGGACCGCTCCCCTCACGCTGGTTCATGGCGAACCAGGCTCCCGGATCGCTGCGAAGCCCTTGCTGCTTCTCACAGCCCTTTCCTGGTTCCAGACGCTTGATCACAAGCACAGCGTCCCCCCTGCTAATGCTGTGCAGGTTGATAACACGGTTGCCGAGCCGGAATCCCTAAAGAAATTATTAATTATCTGGTTAACGTGCGCCAGGCTGTGGGAGTGCGAGATTAATCACCAGCCGCGGGATGAGTTGCTGAAGTGGATTTTGGTTTTTCGTCTCCTGTCACTCGTAATGGCTTTTCCTTCCTTCGCCATCAGGTGCACAGGTGCAGGGATGCTGTATTTTCATTTTCCCAGAGTCGGGAACAGCCGGTGACCAGGCGATGGCTGTTCCTTGGTCCTGCTGCATGAGCAGTTTGCAACATGGAGTCTCACCGACTCAGAACGTGCCAGCTCGCAGGGGATCCCCCAGCGTGACAGGTCCTGCTTCTGCTTTCCGCATTCCAGATGAGGGCACGTGTACACACGCACAGCCAGCAGACACACACGGACACACGCGTGCAGACCGTCATCGATATACACGGAAACGTTGGCGGAGATGTCCGGATGCTGCGAATGAATCTCTGCTCAACATCTCCTCTCATTTCTTCCTTTAGACACATGTTCCTTATCTCTAAATGTGAAAAAAAAAAAAAAAAAAAAGGAAGGAAGAAGCTGTGTGCAGCTACTTCTTCGAGAGGGATAGAGAAGTTCGACACTAGTCATTTGGTCGTGGC